GAAATGATTACCATTGAACCGAAATGGCTTGTTAAGATCTCCCATCTTGACATCCGCGGTTTTTTCAATTGTAGCCATCTTTGAATCTCCTTAAAATTGTAAGTGAAAAACTTACAAGATAATAAAATTACAAGATTACAATTGAAAAATAAAATGAAGAAATTAATCTCTTCAGGCCGAGGCGCGGATATCTCGCTCTCTTTAAGGAGATTCAAGCCCACTGCAGCAAATGTTATCACCGGTCCAGCAGTAGTCCTCTTTGACTTGTCCCCTCCAGGATACAACAACCTTCACAAAGTATAACTCAACAACTCTGGATAAGAGTTGAGTCCAAAGCTCCACAAAAAAGAACATCTTCCTTCAACTAGTAAGAACTCTCTTTTAGACTAACTCTTTCACTTTATGTTTTCTCTTATGTTTTGTGTATTCAAACCAAATGAAGACCACCACTATTTATACTACAAGAAGTCTTCCTAGCAATGAATAGGAAAATAATAGAGGTAGTAAATAGTGAAGATAATGGTCTTAGGAGTTTCATAGGTTACATAGGTTACAATAGGAGTTACATAGGTTACAAAGAGTAATGGAGGTATTACGAATGAAATAAAGTGATGGACAACCAATGCTAATGAATGATGTAAAATTTATTCGTTCCAATATTTTCTTATAACTCCAAAATAAAGCAATTTAATATATTAAATATTAATATTAAAATGTTAATAACCTAACATGATTCATTGTTGTTGGGGGTTGGAGGAAGAGAGATGGAAGAACTCGATTCTTCTATTCAGAGTGATTTGAAAATTTGGAACTTATTTTGTGCTAATGAGGAAGATAGAGGATTCTAGAATTATGGAGTGAGTGTCATGCCAGGTTAAATTTATCATTTTTCCCTTGGCCGTCCTTTCTATATATATACTAGATATTAGGTTTCCGTGTTAATGCGGGTCCAACGTATGTTAGTTTTTTCTTTCAATTTATGTGACACAAATAAATTTGAAAAAGTGAACTAAATTTGTTATATGTATTTTTTAAAAAATATTTTTTAATTGTTAATTTATGTACTTTTTATGTCAATTTTAAAATAATATATGTTACTTATTTATATGATACAAGTGATTTTAGGATAGTCAACGAAATTTCTTATATGATTGTCGTATATTTTTAGTTGTCATTTTACTATGATTCGTAGCACTTTATAGTTCTTACGTCGTTTTCAAACAATATATGCAATTTTCTTTTTTCCGTTAAATATATGGGAATCAATCATATTTCATTATGATTTTTAACTATATTTTTCTAAAAATATCTTAAATTTTTACATTGAGATTTCAGGCTTTTTTATGTAATTTTTAAATGTGTACCAAAATAAAAATTAAAACGAAGAATTAAAGTTTTCAAATTATTATATTTTTATATTAAAATATTCAATGCTTTAAAACACCATATATATGTACAAATTAATAGAAGGAAACCAAAAGAATTTTTCAAAAAAAATATATGAAAGCTCATTTTAATAATAACACATATATATTTCAATTTTAATATATTATTCCTCCTTTTCGATTTATATGAACTTATTTTTTTATTTCATCTCAAAAAAATAACTTCTGAATTTTAATTTTTTTTATATAACATGTTTAACATTATATAATTTAAAAATATTTTAATACACAAAATTTAACTATAAATATAAATTTTAATTTTATTTTTTATTGATTCCACCTAATATTATACTTGATATATAATTATTAAGAGCTAATTGTTATCATACTTTATTTACTTTCATATAATAAATAGATATCGCAAATTCATAAAAAATGGAGAAATAACAAATATGAAGTAATACTAATAATAATAACTAAAGATGTTTCTAGAAAAATTCAAATTTCTTGTCATCATTCTTGGTAGATTTTTATTTGAATGAAATTACATTTGTTTTACCTTTGATCACCATTCACTTTATATATATAAAGATGTTTCTAGAATTAGTTATTCTAGAAAGATTTTTGTTAGGATGAAATTACATTTTTATTCTTGGTCGTATTTAATATAAATATATCATCCTATTCATTTTTATTTGTAAAATTACTTTTAGCATCTTTTTTCTTCGATTTCAATCTAATATTTATTATTAATTTTATCACACTTCGTTATTTACAAGTATATTAATTAGAACCAAAATAAAGATGGAAATAATTAATTCATGATAAAGTTTTATATAAAAAGTAGGCATTTTTATAGCATAATGAATAGAAAAAATATTAAGAATTAAACTAAAGTAAAATAGAGTAATAGTAAAATATATTAATAATAAAATAGATATCACAATAACTCATAAAAGAAAAGGAAGTAAAGTAATGACAAAATAAGTTAATGGTAATAACAATAACTTACTATGTTTCTAAAATATTAAATATTCTTGTAATCATTATTGATAGATTTTTGTTAGTGTGAAATTACATTTTTGCCCTTGATCATTATTCACTTTATATATATATATATATATATATATATATATAAGAGAGTAT